AAATAGTTTTTTAAAATCCTTCCCTAAACTGGGGTAAAAATAAATATTCCTCCATTATGACCAACAGTGTATATTGCATTTTTGTGGGCTCTTTACTTTCAATAAGTTGTATCAATTTTTTGTTATCACATGAAACGTTTCGTTCCTATTACTCAGACATAAACAGCTTTGGTATAGAGCAAATAAAATGTACTATTATACTATATATGTGTAGCTTCGTCTTCTAAATTTTCCGATTAAAATCAAATTCAATTGTCAATAGGAAATATATAAGATGGCACCGTTTTCGTCAATATATTGTTAATGATAATCATTATCTATAACCATTATTCATGTCATATCTTAATTGTGTGAAAATTTAAAAACGGTGATATCCAGATATCAATGTGGTACCACTTTGGAAACGATAATCATTCAACATTAAAAACCTAATGGATCCTATTATAGATGTTTACTTTCTCGTAGATCCATTTTTTAATTCTAGAATGAACAGACATATGTTTCCTGTTTAACATATCTATCTTTGGCTTATGGATCGCAACTTCATTCAAATTAAGCTTAATTTTGATTAGGGGGAAATGCTTTGAATTTACCCAATATAGGAATTACATCGGTATCTTGGGGATAATAGTAATAAGTATGTTTTTAGTTGTTTTCTTTTTGTTGGTTTTGCTTTTACTTTTGCTGTACTGTTTCATTAGTTTGTTTGGGGGAGATTGGTTAAGTTTTGTAAGTTTTTTTGTTTTTAATCCATTTTTGGCTGACATATTTTTGAATAGGTTGATTAATCAGAGCGCGTTTCTATTTCTTTAAGAGCGCCATCTGCGAACAAAGAATGTGTAGCTTTTTCTCTTGCATCGAGAATGACGGAGAGGGAGGTAATCCAGAGTTCGTTAGCTCAAGCTTGATTTAAGATCAGTGTAATAAATTAAATTGGCTTTCATTTATAAATAAAACAATACGAACGCTTTGCATGAAATGTTCTTGTCATTGAGCTTTCTTTGTGTAATAATAAACAAACTTAATGATTTACATAAATTATGAGTGCTAAATGTGTCTATAGAATTTCGAGGTGTGTTCACAATTTTACTGTTTACCATCTTCATTTTCATAAAGCATCGTCGTTATCACCACCATCACCAACAGCATCACCAGAAACATCACAATCATTATCATTCTTAATATCATCATCCGTATCATTTCTATCAGCATTATAGTAACCATCATTATCAGCAGCAGCATCACCCTCATCACCATCACCATTATCATCATCCCCATCACCATCACCATCATCATCACCACTACTACCACCATCATCATTATCATCACCACCATCACCGTCATCACAACGGCCGCTAGTCATCGTTATCATCAACAGCAACATCATATCCATCATCACTTAAATCTCCACCATGACCACCATCCACATCATCATCATCATCATCTTCACCATCATTATCATCGTCATTATCATCATCATTCCTTTCGTATCGCCCGTCTTCGAAGGAATTGAACAAACAGCTGGTGACCTCTAGCGAATTAAGCAGAAGAGAATACGCTCGAACATGTCAAGGTGTTTTTCGCTTTTTATTACAAACGAATACCATGTACAAAGTATGTTGTGAGACATTTCCATGAAATATCACAACCATAATGCTTCACGAGTGAAGATAAGTGAATGATTGTATTCTTACAAATTCATATAATATACGTTGATTTTTAGTATAAAACTAACCACAAAAGAAAAGAAAAAAGTCAATAAATCAAAACATAGTCAGCATCTGTGGAAGAGGTTATACAATATGTAAAACATCTCCTCTTTTATACAATAAATAATTAAGTAAGAATGTACTCTTTTGCAAGTCAAGTTGGATAATAAAGTCAAGATGAATTTGAAATCGAAATGTGTATATAAAAGACATGAAACTGTTTTAAAGAGGTTAGATAGGATAAAAGCGAGAGAGAGAGAAAGGGAGGGAGAGAGAGAGAAAGAAAGAAAGAATTAAAATAGAAAGATAGAGAGAGATAGATGGGGGATAATGGAATGGGTATGATTTTCTAGGAAAGTAGCACCCTTACACACACAAAAGGACGATTATGACAGTGTCCCAGGGATGTACAATAAGTCTCATTAATTACAAAAACAAAAAAGGAATACCTGTTATCACTCATAATATGGAACAGTGTTGGTCGAAATGGGCTTATATATAAGGCATATCGAAAAATGAATATCAAAACAAGAGATGATCTTTAAATTTCTTCGAACTGTCAAACATAGAATTAGTAAAAATCAATGCAATTCTACGTTATTGTGTAGAGCATAATCAAGATAACAATTTGTTTCACATAGGGATATTTGTGATTTTTAAGTTTCTGCAAAGGGTTCTTCATTAAATTTAACCCCCCCCCCCCCCCCAAGAAAAAACAAAAAACAAAACATAATATTAATATTAAAAATAGTAATCATCACAATAAATATGATGACAATAATAATAACGATTAAAATAATAAAGGAATAACATTCATAATAATAAATAAAAAACAAATGTGATAAAGTTTACACGAATATGGACACGTGTAAGGGATTATTATTCATAACATACTTAAATTTGACATTTCAGATTTGACTGTAAATCCTTAACGTAATATTAAAGGGAAAAGCAAAAAATACAAGCTTACAAAATATTGAAAAAGTAACAAGATACGGTGCTACAAAACTAGTTTGAAATTTTGTTTATATGACCTGACTACACTTTCGATCAAACCTTGCTTTAATAATTTGTCATTATTATCCTGATCAATACTATTATCCTCATTATTGTTTATTATTAATTTGTTCCCTTTTACCACGCTGTTGGTCGTAATCCACTATACATTACTGTTCATATTCAAAGGCATGTCTTTTAATATGTACATATCAAAACTCTCATATCTTTAGTACGTGTCATCACATATTTCATCGCGACACTATTTTTGAGAATGAAAGGCATTGTGCAAAATGAATAATGATACCTAACAATTCACAGAGAACTATATCGATAGGTTAGAAACTTGTGTATAAATACAATAAAGACATTGTGTGACTCAGTTTATTCTTTTCACCATACAAAATTGTGTTCAATTTGTTCAAAATGAAAATAAATAAGTAATCAAACTCCCAAAGTTGTATACATTGAAGGAAAATATAGGACCCGGTGAGGGAGGTTTGACGTGGTTGAAATTTTTTTATTTTCTAAAGAAGATAATGTTTTAACGAAATTACTAACATAAATAAATATGATATATTACAAGATATAAACAGTTATGGTCGATGGTGACAGTATCAAGAATGAAATTAATTTATATTAAAGCATTCATTTTTGTTTCTTCCAAAGATAATCCAATAATCATAGTTCTTATAACTAAAAATCCAATTAAATCTGAAGATCTTCTTTAGAAAGACCAATCATGTTACGCTTTTTTATTTTTCCAGATAAACAAATGTTGAATTCAAGCTTTTAGCCAGAATGCCTGGGATTTTTTCTTTACTATCAAGACAGGAGATGAATTCAATAATAAACTTTTTGTGACACAGAAATCTTAAAATACATGAGAAAAAGATTATCTAATTTGAAAATGTCTTAGAATGTGAATACTACAATCAAATTTGACGGACAAAATAATATGAATACTTGTGCATTCATTCATAACGCAATTATTATCAACATCTTTGCCTATGACATAATTCATTGAATTTCCTGAGGCGAATACCTTTATATAATTTGAATCATCTACTTCCATATCTAACCGTGACAAATACAAAATATCATCATCATGACCATTAACCATGTGAACGAAAACGACTGATTTCATGTGCATCCTTTTTTTTTATCACAAATTATCGCAAAGTATTTCAAAATGTCTGCTTGCACGATTGCGTAGGTTTCGCACAGAATTATGACAAATATATTAATATTTGTAGTTTGATAATGTAAAAAACAAAAACATCCATGTTTGTGACGATGGATTTAAATCCACTGTCATCCCAAAGTTCTAAGCTACTGCTAATAGATGGAATATCGAACTCACTAACTCTGAGTTAGTTTCCTAAAGAATAATCAAAATATATTTTTTTAAATGAATAAAAACGACTAAAGTAATCCTATTGCACCAATACCTGCCCGAATACACTTGGAAATATATTTCAATGTTTTCTTCGCATAGCGTTGAAACGACATGTTCAGAATCGAGAGCAGTAAACAAGGAATGAATAACTTAATTCATCTATTTAGAAAACGTCACCTCAACCAATTTCTTAAGAAACGTCAAAGGTTCGAAAAACTTTTTTGTAGCCAAGTGAATAAATAAGATAAGATGCAGCAAAAGGCCGTACTGTGCATTTTGTTTGTGCGTTTATTATAGCCAAGAAAATAATATAATAGTACAAAGGGGAAAGGTTTTTAAGTAAACTTCGATCTGTGAACCTTCATGTTCAGCGTTCACGCCATCAAAATCAACTATTCTACAAGTATAAAGCATTGCCTTGCCCATCACATAACAGAAGATACGCACGATGTTGGAATCGTCGTCGTATAAGGTATAAATACAAGACACACATTCACCAAAAAATATACACTACAAAAAAAACATGGAATGAATATATACAATATAAAGGAAACATTGAATATTTTTCTAAACATTTCAGAGAAAGGCCCTTTTTTCATAGAAAATAAATCTATTTACAATAAGAACTGTTTGATATACTTTGTACAGGAAAATCGCTACGAACAAAAACGGTGGTTTATAAAAGGGGGATATCCAAAGTTTTGATCCATCATTACGCTCGATTTCGGAGGACTATCCAACTCGAATGATTTGTATCTGGTGGGACATTCAACTTATGGTGGGAAATAGTTGGTTGCATAATTTGCACTTGATCATTCTTTGTTTTCATCCTGAATTATAGCTTTTTTTTTCAATATAGTTTGTTCGACAGGCATTATAATGACGGAAAACAAGAAGTGTTTGTTTCAAGACATACATATAATTACATATGGGAACCAGCATTCAGCATACTCAATGGAAGGGGATCATGAGCTAGTTGAATCGTTGTTATTGATTGTGGTGATGATGGTGGGTAGATTGGGGTTATTAAACGACAGGGGTGCCATTTGTTACCCCTGTACGTAGATCCAGAACGTTTGTACCCCTTGGTTCCCCAGCGGGACCGGTTGAGATGACAACTACACTGGTATCGGGCGACGCCGCCATTGTGGTGGCCGTCAGATCATGAGGACTGTGCCGCATCTGTTGTGGATGATGTTGCTGGGGTTGCGATCCTGGATGATGGTTGATGCTTGGGGTGCTGCTGTTGCCAGCAGGGGAGGTGGTGGTTGTGACGTTTTGTGGCGATACAACTCTGTTATGGGGGTCGCCGACCAACCCAGCTTGCGATGAGGGATGTAGATGTGCGTTGTGGCTTTGAGCTTGCAACAGGTATTGCTGATGCTGCTGGTGTTGTTGCTGATGTTGCTGGTGACTGGCCTGATTGTGGGTTGACATCTGGGCATGCGCCTGGGGGCTGCCTTGTTTGGCTATAGGGTCATAAAAAAGGTTGGGAAGAGTTACATTCATTGGCCCTCATTGGTAGCTATAATCTGCGCACGCGTATACAAGTTTGTGATAATGAATGAATGATTGGTTTGGATGGGATGGGTGGGTAGGTGGTTGGGTGGGTGGAAGGGTGTGTGGGTGAGAAAAGAAACAAAGAGACAAACAGAATACAACAGATTAGAACAAACTTGGGTTACACAGAGGGAGAGGTCATATGAAGGAAGATTTACACAAAAGACGAATGGTTGAAAGGAATACAAGAAAATGATCACATGAATCACAAACTACACATGCAAATTATGATGAATATAGTTATATTAACTTAAATTAATTTAAATGAATGCATGTAGAAATAAAGTATGCATGCTAATACAGCGAAATGTTGTTCTGTTTACGCCAAATGATATTTTTGATCTTTAATCTTAAATTCATCATCATGAGCAAAGATTAAAGAATTCAATTTGGTAATGGAATCTACAATGCTCGTGGCCTAGTGTAAATTTTCACTTGGTCGGTAAATAATTTTGTGATAATTAGTAGTAAATCTGCATAAGTAATGAAAGTGTGGAAAACCAAAATACTAGATTCACATGAGTAAGCAGCCGTTTTTTCATCGAATTAACATCATTATTCTGGTCGTGGCAACAAAATGGTGAGATGGTTTTATAACTGTCCTGTTTAGTTTTTAAAGTGATTCAAAAATACAAATTTTACAATAATATAGATGTTAGTGAATTCAAACACGATAGCTAGTCTCTTCACAAGCCGTATCCCGTCATTTTTGTGATTGATAATACTTACAGGTCTACTTACTTAGCAGGCTCTGGCTACCAGTATAGCGTTGCCAATCGTTGTAATGGCCTGAAACTGAGAATTGGGCGTGGGGATGGTTGTACTGTGAAAACTGGGAGGAATATTCACCTGGGAAAAGAGCGAAAACAATGAGAGGAAAAGGAAGAGTTAAATAACCTACAGTTTCACTAGCACTGAAGATGCATCATCAAATGGTAATCGATTTCTTAGAAGGACAAGTTTAGCAGCGTTTTTTCCCATATTTGGGTTAGGTTAATCGGTACTTTTCCCTTCAAATTAAGACTATGCAACTCTAACAGCCATCATGATATGTGGTCCATCAGTTTGATAAAGAAAGAGGTCATGAGAGTGAGGGAGGGAGAGAGCGAGGAGAGAAAGGGAGAAACCAATAGTTAGATAATTTTATCATTTTTGTCTTCAGCAATTCATTTTGGGGTGGGTTAAAACGATATAGTGATCAACATAAAGTTTGTCCACGTGGAAACAAATTCTTAAAATGACTGTAAGTCCACGCCAGAAAAAGCGTTGGTTGGTAAGCCGCCATTTTGTTAGAACTTAGTCTCCACCACGGTTGTTTTGAGCACTCACCTTCCCGTCCGCTATGGCTGTAAGAGCCACCGCCCGGTGGAAGCACTAGAGGAGGCACGATACTGGCCACCGAGCCGCTGGAATAACCGCCTTGAGATGAGGCTGGGTAGCCGTGAAGTGGGGTCATATCTCGACTCTGGCCTGAAATGTAAAGAAGGATGGATGGATTGAAAATCGAAATATTTTGAAGGTCTTGCATCTCAACAAAAATTCTCAATCTTGTCTGGAACAGCTAAATAAAGGCACAGTTGCATAAAAAAAAAGATGTTATTACCTGTTTGATGATAACCTGATGTCACCGCATGATGGCGCTGTGCTTCTAAACTCGCATGGTATTCTGAGGCGCTGGAGATAGGCATACCGACCTGATAACGAGAAATAAAAGTACAACAATCAAGCTTCAAATTTGAAGGGGAAAAAAGATGCATTGATATCTGAAGTGATTCTTAAATCTTTTGACCTGTTTTGAGGAGGACATTAATAACTGTAGTGTATGCACTGATCTGGATCTATGTCAAATCGTAAACTTTTTAGACAACATTTGATGAAATTCCTTTTACATTTGTTTGTGTAAGTGAAGTACATGTACAAACATGCAACGTATGCATGGAGTTCAATGGCTCTTTAACCTAAACAAAATAAGTGAATTAGACTATGCTTGGTTTTTCTTTTGTGAAAAAATTGGACCAATTAGGCATCCAACGTTTAATCCCACTCCTGACACCAATAATGACATAGTAAGATATTTTCGAGTTGGTTGAAAGGCATAAAATAGTACCATCTTCCTGGTAATCACCTGACCACGGGCATCCTGGGCGATTTCCTTGCGGTAGACGTCGGGGTAGAGTGAGGGGTTACAAGCCTTCTCCATCGCTTCGATCTGGTGGGGAGAGAAAGCACCACTGTTCGTCTTCATCATCTTGCGGGCTTCTTCGGCCAAGACAGACTGGCCATCATGATGCCCTGGTGTACCATCTGTAAAGAAAAAGAATAACAAGAAAAAGATTCATTATAAATATTTGATCGTGTTTTCTATTATTTTTTTCCTATAATCCATGATGTCACAAAAAGTTTCTGGAACCCAAATTGTCAAACCTATATTAAGGTCGAGGGATATAACAGAAGATAGTGATGCTTATAATTATATGCACATGCATCTTGGTAAGATTCGAACCAACAACTTTCTGATTGGTGGTCAAGAATAATAACCACTTCACAAAAGTTATCGGAAATTCGCTAATTATCTTTTGAATATAGAGTTATTACATTTAACACAAATAACAGTATTATAAATATAATTTGCAGTTGTCACCGCCATGATCATACTCATCACCATTGCCACAATAATCATCATAGTATCAATTGCATTGTCATCATCGTCATCATGATCATCATTATTCCAATCATCACTATCATCACCATTATTGTCATCATAATTCCCACCATCACTATCATCGCCATCAACATCATTGTTATCATTCTCATCACCATCACCATCATTGTTATCATTCTCATCATCATCCCCTATAATTCATATACATCTCAGCATCTCAAGACAAACATGTCCCAAACATTTGAAGAGACAGTTTCCATGACAACGACTTCATCGCGTCTCCATCCTTCTTGATCGAATCCAGCCCTTGTTAATATCAACGAAGGTAAAATGAATCGCTTAATCACCTAGCTGAGTGAAAAGCATCAGGACAACTTTATTCTCATTTATGTGTTTCGTGGAGGATAATTCTTCTTTCTACAATATCCACACATACGGGGGGGGGGGGGTAATACGAATACGGATAGCTTACACGTGTTTTGAGTTGTTTCTCTTTGCTTGTCTACTTTTTGTCTTTAACAACTCCCTGTATTTCTAGATGAGTTATGGATACACTAATTCTTTCCATGTATACAATCAGATATCGTAGAAGGTTGAACTACACAAACAAAACTAATGTGAACATAATCAGTATAATGATATCGTCATGCAGTAGACTATATATATTAGGTGAATGTGTAAAATGAATAAAAGTGTAGTAGCATGCTTTAATATAAATGAACCCATTTTGGTCTTTGCTTTAAATTCTAGATAATATCAGGATGTCTGGTAACATGTTTATCATTGTTTCCCTTTAATGTTAGGCTTATTATTTAAGCTTAATCAATTCACTTTCTACAACGTAAGATATCAACGTAAAGTTTTCAGTCAAGATATTCATATAAATATGTTCATCCTCATCCAGATATCAAATTTTCGTGTCAATCACGTTTGACATTTCAAACCGCAATGGCATATTGTAGGGTCATAAACAAAATGCGTTTGTTCCTTTTTCACCTACTATATAATTGATATATTAGTTTAGAGTTATCAGCCAACCCAAGGATCTCATCACCAACCACCCAGTTTGTCCTCTTTCATTATGGTAGGTTTCGACTGGACAAAGCAAGATGTGTAACACAGGAGGGTGCAGAGTTTAATAGCGAGAATACTTCTGTTGGTTTGGTAACCAGAGTTATGATTTGTTTTCTTCGCGATATTTTTGTTATGTCCGTGATAATGTCAAACCGCATCTTTTCTTTCTCCATCTTCGTGTATAAATCCTCGGTCTGGGGTGTATACGAAACAAGGAGTTGAAATGGTCGGGGTGGAGAGCGGTGTAATGTTAGAGGATAAGAACCTTCGGTCGGCGTCGAGCGAACGCCGAGGTCGGGGAGAGCGACGATATCGGATCTAAACTGTCACTGAGTCGCAATCTCTGCTTACAAATTGACGAGTTGGAATATCAATATATCATGCTCCAACAGTAATGAATGGGCCGTCTGTTTGTGCCGTGTGGTAATGGACAGTTCTGGCTTTTGTCACCGTGCTGGTGGTTTTGATGAACTTATCAGCAACTTCAAATTAAATTCCTCCAAAGTCAATGCTTCAAATACATGTCGATTTTGAGGGATATATTTTTTTTCTTTTCTGTTGTAACGGGAAATATACATTGGTACTTAAGCTGACAAGATATACAGATGAGGAAAACGTATCCAAATCTTCACAAAACATAGTATCTGTGGTCCTTAATAATTATCCGAGAGAGGAGCAGAAGAAATGTAGAAATTAATAGAAGCGGTTTGAGAAAGGGATAAGATAAGTTGAATTCAATTCTTATAACAACAAAAGGATGCTGGTGACGAAAGAAACATTTGACAAAGGAGAACACGGTTTATAAAGGAGAGAAAAGCATAGGCTTTGTGACTTCATTCTTTTGTTTGGTCAAATTTAGCTTGTGTCCAGCCATTCCATTCGTACTCAACGATGCACTGGAGGTACAGGTACAAATACCAGAGTCAGGGTCATCGTCTAGTGCCACGATGGCAGCCATCATCCCGCCAGACGGCCTGGCTAGAGTTACCCCTGGTTGCCGTCTAGAAATCAGGAGGGTAAACCCGACACTAACACAACACTATGAAATGTAAACTTAGAGCATGAAGCTTTCCAAACTTAGATCCGAGGTTTGGTCGATTGCTAGATTTTCAGCAAGCCTTTTCGCGGATTTTCAAAATTGAGGTGTATCTTTAAAAAGCAGAGGCACTTCAGAGACTCTTTATCCTGTACCATTGCTCTGTGAGAGTTCAATGTACGCTTTCCCTATTCCCGACGATTGCTTGAAAAGATCTTGCGAATTTTCTGCATTCCTTTCATACCTCATATACTGTTCTTCAGTCAAAGAAATAGTTGTTGAGAGACGAATTTGCATGCAACCTAAACATGAAACGTGATTTTGAAGCAGATCTGGGGACCTGAAACACGTAAAGTAATGCTTCATCAAAATAATGTCATTTTTATGTCAGGAGTGGGATTTATATAGTGTTCTAATTCTTTGGCATTTTTTTCTCAGATAGATACAAACTAATTATTCAGTCACGTGTATTTGTTTAAGTTCAGGAGCCTCAAAGTAATAAGGAGACGAAAAAGCTTTTTAGCAAAACTTTAGATTCCGTCTTTCCCCTTTTTATTTTAACTTCTGATGGATAAAGGGGATGTTATAGCTATCAGTTTGGCGCGAGTGCACTTCAAGCCTTCAACATCCAAAAATAAAGGGAAAAAAGGTACAGGAAATCCCTTGGGATGACCCTCCGATCTATCAAGCTCCCTACATCTCAACTGACACTGCCCCTTAAAATACTTCTCCTCCAGTCATATTGCTTTTATCCCCTTCCTTTACCCCCTCACTCTCTCTTAGATCCCCCGTTCAACATCTGTCGCGCAGTAGCAGCAGCAGTTCAACCCGGGTCCGTTTATTAAGTACGCGTGTCACCGTAATGCCCCCACCCTGGCGCGCACGCTTTTCTCGTTAGTAAAAGCAGCAGGCGTCGAAGAAATCCGATCCTTGCCGAGCGCCGTTCGGCTCACTTTCGACCGCGCGCGCTCTCGTAGGAAATGTACATCACAAAGTCAACTAGGCCTGACGTAGAACAAGAGAAGCCACTTTCCAGGTTGTCCAACTGTCTTCAAGCTTTAAGTACCGCCTAATTCAGAACCCATTTGTTGGTTTTTAGATTTCCTAATGCCTCGTGGCAGAAGGATCAGGTATTGCTAAAATTGTTTTCGAATCCTCCCCTTGCGTTCGGGGACCTATACCGACTGCTCGTACGTACATGTATATTTCTCAAGTAGCTGATGATATCACACGGTATTTCCAAACCCAAGAGAAACCTTCTATGCCAAAAGCAGATGAAATTTTGTGTCTAATTTTTTTTCTCATTATTATCAATATCCAACGCATTGTATTTCCTAATTGCACAGTACGATGAAACGGGGGGAAAGAGAACAAATATATAATTTGAAATACAACAAAAATGGCTATTGAATATGAGACCCGAAAACACTTAAACTGACGTTGACACACAAAAAAGACACTATGTAATTACCATGCTTATTATAGATAACGTAAACGTAATTAACGTGATTCATTTCAAACTAAACATACTAAAAAAAGGAGGCGTTCTGCAGTAATAATCACAACCCTTTAAAACAAAAATGTTAATTCTTACGATCAAAAGTTTTCAGTGCGGTCTCTCTTTCTGACCATATGTACATCATCTATACAGGGTACTAAATTTACGCCAATATTTGATTTGATGACCTGCAAAAAAGTACATTTCACGACCTCGCCCCATTCTCTTTCACCATGGACAAACAAAGCTGAACTCCAATCTTCGATCATTTAGGAACACTTTAGATAATCCCATAATGATACACTTTTTTCATTTGAAAAGGTTTCAAGAGTCTGCAAGATAATAGGATGGGCAAGTGATACACTTTTGTAATTATGTTCTATATGGATAAGCAAGGAAGTGAAAAAGTATTACTTTCGTGTCGAAGAGAGGTTTTGACTTGAAAGACACTTAAGAAACGTGAATAGCATAGATAGGATGTCGTATTTATAATTCTAAAAACTTATCGGGTTTGTAAATCAACTGGAAATCTGTTGTTGTTGTTGTGTTTTTGTAATCATTATCTTTACACACTTGCAAAGGAGAAAACGGATGTCATTATGCAATTACAAGATTTCGGGTTTTTTAATCTTTGTATTCCAAGATGGCGCCTCCAGTTTCACGTTTATCAGTTAATTGAGATCATTGTGGTTGTGAATGTATCTCTTTCATGAGCTTACTCTCGTTTCAATTATCCAGCACTTGTCTCGTTTTTGGCAAACAAAGATTCAGGTTGACATATGGAGATTGAAATTTAAAGGGGAAAAGTTGCACATAAAACTATCACTTTATTCAAATAAAGAATGCATTTCGATTAAGTATTTTACATCAAGAGGCCCTCAGATGAGTGTATTACCTTTAAAAAAAATACTTTACTTAATGTAATAACTTTGAATCTAATTACATAACTTTTTACCCTGATCATTATGTAATATCTATAGTTTGCATTGAGGGCATGGGACTCAGATTGGATTCAAATTGCATTACCTCCTTTA